GCAAAATATAGGGTGTTGCGGAACATACAGATTAGTTTCGACAATTTGTCACACTCTCACAACCTACGAAAATACCGTTTTCGCATTTTAAAAGAACGTTCACACATGAAAATGGCTGCATATTTTTGTTTACAAGAAACATAAAAGATTTAAGAACTCTAAATCTATTCAATCTACAATTTTGATTATTTGCATATATAATGCTGAAATATTACTGATAACGTGTATTCATCAGACATTTTATTGTTGACATTTTTTCGTAAACTATTTATTTTCTATTTTTTATTCTCCTTCATTGTCACCTGTTTTGTTTGGTTTCCTTGGCCAGGTTTTAATTTCTAGGATAGTTTTCGTTCTATGATTCCCTGGACTGCCAGATTTAAATTTCCTGGATAGTTTTTGTCCTTTCATTTCCTGAATATTTTTCGTTCTTTTGTTTCCTGGACGCCAGGTTTTTAATTTCCAGGATACTTTTCGTTCTTTGATTTCCTGGACTGCCAGATTTTAATTTCATGGATAGTTTTTGTCCTTTGATTTCCTGGATATTTTATGTTCCTTGGTTTCCTGGACTGCCAGATTTTAATTTCCTGGATAGTTTTTGTTTTTTGATTTCCTGGATATTTTATGATATTTGATGTTATGCCAGGTTTTTCATTTCCAGGATATTTTTCGTTCTTTGATTTCCTTACTTTCGGCAGTTTTTTTTGTTTGTCTATATTTTATTTTATTTTAATTTCCTAAAATTTCATTCTTCACAATTTCCTGACAGTTTTTTTTTAATAAATAGAGAGTTATACACGTGGATTAAATTCAACCAATTTTCTAAAAACCACGCTTAAGAGAAGTGGTTTAGCTTAAACTACGTAGTTCAACTACTTATCTTCATTGTATTTGGTCCCTTGAGTGGTCTCTGATCATTTCTATTTCCTTTTTCTTTTATTTTACCTTTCTTTCCGCCTCCACCTGTCTTGTACAGTAAGCCCCATAAAACTGTGGAATAGGAAGACGACTTTCAGATTTAAATTCCGATTTTACAAAGTCTAATGTACTTGAAACACCGCAATTGTGCAGTGTAAACCGATACATTTAACTTATTTAGTTGTTTTACTGGTAACACTATTTGCAATTTCATTAATTTCTAATACACATCAGATTGCTTACGTGTCGTCTTCCTATTCCACAGTTTTATGGGACTCGCTATATATACGTCTGTAGAGTTCTACTTTCTGCTTTCTATATGGTTATATCAGAGCTTCAGGTGTGTTACTTTGTCTAAAATTAATCATGTTGTGTTCGTGTTTGTGTTGTTTATGTGTATGTGTGTGTATTATGTTTGCTGCCGATATCCTGCCTTAGGGTTCTTCTATAGTATGCTGTAATTGTAATCCAGACATTTGTAATTATATATGTATTCCCTCTATACCTTCTAAAGATCGAGAGAAACGCACAAAGTTTCCCCGAACCCTCCTCTTCCCTTAATCTGATTGTAGGTTTGTTTTTCTTAGAATTAAAATCCGAGATATAATCTATTTTCTTCAGATAATTTTTTTCGTGTTTTGTTACATCGTTTTGACGTTTTTAGAGTTCTAAAGATTTGCTCGAAAATACTTTCTATACCGTTAAGATCTTTCTTCTTAAAACACAAAATAAAATCTACTACGTGAAGAACCAAAATAATTCGGAAACTTAAAAAGATGCTATTCTTCAAATATTGAGATATCAGAGCAGAGAATTCTACAAGCTCTTTAGAGCAATTAATTTTTGCAGCTATAAAACTCATGGTTTTCACAAAATGTTCGCGAAAATATTTTAACATTTACGCGATACAAATTTTGCTTTGATTATTTTCACAAAAAAAGCGAAATTTCGCCAAAAAGTTTGCGAAATGCGACCGAAAATTTTCGCATTTTTTCGCGAAACGTTTTGTTCGTTGGAAACCCTAGTAGATACATAACAATTAAACACCAAAATAAAACTCTACTTCAACAATATCAAAGTCAAATATAATTTGTTAATTTATGATCAACATTTTATAACTATACTTTAACAAGTTCTTTGGCGCTTTTTTCAATTTAATGTTTTGAATGAAATCTATGAGTCAGTATACATCAATAAAATGTTTATTGGCAATTTGATTCATTCTCTCAAATAAAGATGTTATTTTATATTTCAGATAAAACTAGCTGAAGTGCCCGGCGTTGTCCGTCCAATAGAGAAATCAATAAGGGGAATTTTTTTTTAAATCTTATTTTTTTATTTTTTTTTTAGCCTATGTCACCCTCGGGGTAACCATATTATTTATGTTTATTAAGAGAAATATGAAAATTCTTAGTAGTCTTAATAACAATACCTACTCTTTTTTTTTGGGGGGGGGGGCAGATCTTCCTCATTCAAAAATAAGAAACAGAGTGAAATCTATTTGATTAAGTTGTTGCAATATAACAGAACTTTGAAAAATCATAAAATTTTAATGGTGGCCTGCATTGCATCATACTTAAAAATGTTTCCATCAATATTTTTATTTAAACTTTTTTTTCATATCATAAATACAAACAAAAGTAAAGTTTTTTTTCAAAAAACATAATTTTCAAATTTCCTTTTCAAGAGATAATGAACAAGATTAGGCATGATGCGTTCATATTTATCTAGAAATATTAAAACTAAATGGACTTGAACTTAGTAATTTGGAAAGATTAGATAAATATTTTTAGATCATCAAATTTTGCTAAAATCATTAATTAAATGTTACAAATTTCAATTTTTAAAAATTCAACCTAACCTAATGATGGTCGATGCCAACAAATCAATTCAACTCGTGTAGAGTGTGCACTGTGCAGTGTGCAGTGTGCAGTGTGCACTGTGCACTGTGGCAGTCATAAACAAATATTTTTTAACAGACGACATATTACAGAGAAAATTACCAAGAGTTAAAAAGATAGAGATAGACAAACCAGAAATCAGACAAACAGACACTAAGATAGACCAGAAATCAGACAAACAGACACTAAGATAGACCAGAAATCACACAGACAGACACTAAGCTAGCCCAGAAAATCACAAAAACAGACACTAAGGTGGATCAGGAAATCTAAGAAACAGGTACTAAGATAAACCAGCAAATCACAGAAACAGACACTTTGATTGACCAGAAAATCACAAAAACAGATACTAAGATAGACCAGAAATCACACAAACAGACACTATGATAGACCAGAAATCACACAAACACACAAATAGACCAGAATTCACACAAACAGACACTAAGATAAACCAGAAATCACACAAGCAGACACTAAGATAGACCAGAAATCACATGAACAGATACTAAGATAAACCAGAAAATCACACAAATAGACTCTAAGATAGACCAGAAAATCACAAAAAGAGACATTAAGATAGACCATAAAATCATAAAAACAGACCAGAAAATCACAAAAATAGACATAAGATAGACCAGAAAATCACAGAAACAGACTCTAAGATAACCAGAAAATACAATATAGATCTAAAGCACTTTTTAAGTTTTAAGACCAGAAAGGTTTCATGTCAATACTTTTATGCTTTGACTTTTTGCGGCACCAAAATATATACAGCAGTAACAATGACAACCTTCTTACCCTTCCCATCATAATTTCATAAAAATACTTAAAGATAAGAGTAATTCTAGTTAAACATCGACCATTCATAATTTCACCAATTCTTACTTTAACTTTTGAAGCATCCATATTTTCAAGAAAAAACCAAAAGTTCATTGAAAGTAAGGTTATCGTACCCACTTTTATGAAATAAGGATCTTTTTAAATCTTAAAAATGATTCTTTATAATTGGTTATATAAAGACGTTAAAAAGTCCTGTATGTCTGAAAATACTTAATACTGTTTGTTTTTGTCAATTTTTTAAAGAGATTCTCATCAGATATTTTTGGGTTCTAGTACTTCCCATCAGTCTTTTGTGTAATGTAGATCTATGTATAACTTCCCATCAGATTGTTGTACATGTTTGTATAACTTCCCATCAGATTTTTTTATATCTGTGTATAACTTCCCGTCAAATTGTTAATCATATATTAATGTAAAACTTCCCACCAGATTTTTGTATATCTGTGTAAAACTTCCCATCAGATTTTTGTATATCTGTGTAAAACTTCCCATCAGATTGTTGTATATATATGTATAACTTCCCATCAGATTTTTGTATATCTGTGTATAACTTCCCATCAGATTTTTGTATATCTATGCATAACTTCTCATCAGATTTTTGTATATCTATGTATAACTTCCCATCAGATTTTTGTATATCTGTGTATAACTTCCCATCAGATTTTTGTATATCTATATACAACTTCCCATCAGATTGTTGTATATCTGTGTATAACTTCCCATCAGATTGTTGTATTTCTATTTATAACTTACCATCAGATTTTGTATATCTATGTACAACTTCCCATCAGATTGTTGTATATCTGTGTATAACTTCCCATCAGATTTTTGTATATCTGTGTATAACTTCCCATCAGATTTTTGTATATATATGTATAAACTCCCATCAGCTTTTGTATATCTATGTACACAACAAGGGTACACCCCCCCCCCAATTTTACCAATTATTGTGCTGATGCAACCCCCCCCCCTGAAACCACTTTTGCCTATGTAGTACTTCCCATCATATATTTTTGTAAATCTATATCTTTTTCCATCAGATCACTGTATATCTATGCAGTAATGAACATCATAAATTTCGCAATCTATTAAGTAGATCTTCAAATTTAAGGTATTTATTGACTAATTAGCAGTATTATTTCAAGTTCACCTACCTAGTAACTAGCCAGCTACAGTAGAGGTCAGCATGTTTCATGAGCATTCAGCAAGCTTTTAACTTTGATGTAAACATTTTTCATTCAAATATTCTACTACTGCAATCTTGCAAGCTTTGCCAGGATTGTATCCCCCCCCGGCCTCCTCCCTACGTCTTTCCTACTTTTCGGGAATTTCTGTTTCTTGTCACGTCATTTTGGTCATTTTATATCCTCCTTCTTTCCTCTTCTTTCCTCCTTCTTTCCTCCTTCTTTCCTCCTTCTTTCCTCCTTCTTTCCTCCTTCTTTCCTCCTTCTTTCCTCCTTCTTTCCTCCTTCTTTCCTCCTTCTTTCCTCCTTCTTTCCTCCTTCTTTCCTCCTTCTTTCCTCCTTCTTTCCTCCTTCTTTCCTCCTTCTTTCCTCCTTCTTTCCTCCTTCTTTCCTCCTTCTTTCCTCCTTCTTTCTTCTTCTTTTCTCCTTCTTTCCTCTTCTTTCCTCCATCTTTCCTCCATCTTTCCTCCATCTTTCCTCCATCTTTCCTCCATCTTTCCTCCATCTTTCCTCCTTCTTTACTCCTTTTTTAACCTTTTTCCAACCTTCTTTCCTCCTTCTTTCCTAATTTTTTCCATTTTCCCTTTCTCGTTCTTCCTTTTTCCTTTTCTAGTCTTCCTTCTTTCCTTTTCCAGTCTACCTTCTTTCCTTTTCAAGTCTTCCTTATTTCCTTTTTATCTCTTTCTTACGTCTCAAATTTTAATTGGTGTACTCGGTAGCACCACGGAAATGTATTTAGCTTGGTTTAAAATTCTAAGTTAATGACTCCGATGACTCCAGTAAAGATAGCCTAGATTCCATGACAAGCTGGGTTCCCAAGCTAGTATAACATAAATTTGAATACCTAGTAATGCATAAATCCTTATTCCCCCTTCTCAGATTTAGGATAGAGTTATGACTAAATCGGAAAATAAATATTTTAACAAATGTAATAAAAACGTATAAGAAATTAGGGGGATCTGTTGACTGAGGGAAATTTAAACTTTTTTTTCTAAAAGTGATATGGGACGTATACTTTTATAAAAAATCTAAATTTGTTTAACAGGGAAGAAAGGAGTGGTCTTGAGATCCTGCATGATATTGGTGGCATACTGTAGAAAATCATGAAACACAATTGAAAATTGAAAACAGAAAATAAAAATATTTAAGCAATTAATAAAATAAAGATCTTCGCTAATACAAAGGCTCGTTATAGCTGGCCAAACGGCTGGACTAACTAAGCTGAATTTTTTTTAGGGAACCCATGGAGTACCCCAGGGGTGACGCAAGCTAAATGTTTTTGAACTTTTTGAGCGACGCCGGGAACTGCAGTTAATATCATAATTTAAGAATAACGAGGGAGGGGGAGGGCATGCGGCCATGAGCCCAGCAATTTCCTGTTCGAACCCAGGTTGGTAGCATAATCCTGCCCGAACCCCGCGGAATCCTTTTCGATGCTCAAAAAACAAACTTTTATTGATAATTTACTTAAAAAAGAAATAATTTTAAAAATGAAAACGTGGGGGAATAGGTTACATACTTCTCTTAGCTAAAAAATAAAAGTCAATGCTATAAAACATTTTTTTAATATTTTACAAATACTTAAGTTGGAATGATCACAGTATTTTGCAACTGACTATGTATCATTCATTATGGTGCATATATCAATCTAACAAAATGTGTAGAAAGTATATAATTATGATATTTAAAATTGTTTTATAATTTGTAATATATATTCTACGCATTTTTGTATGAATGGTGTATAGTTTGAATGATAAATAATAAAGAAATATTCAAAGAAGACAAAATTTTACATTTACTAAGAGTTTTAAAGCATTTATTTTATTTTTAAGCTAAGGGGAGTATGTAATCTATTTTCACTTTATCAATAAAAGTTTTAGAGAAAGAGAGAGAAAGATAGAGAAAGAGAGAGAAAGAGAGAGAAGAAAGAAAAAGAAAAAGGAAAAGAGAACGAAAGAGGAAGAGAGAAAAAAGAGAAAAATAGTGAAAGAGAAAAGAAAGGAGAGAAAGAGAGAGAGAGAGAGAGTTTGATTCTGTTTTGTTTTTTCCTAACCGCAAAGTTTCACCATCACGATTAATGCTATATATGATATATTAATGAATCAGTAAGAAAACGATTTTTAATATTTAGCTCACTTCAAACTTTGAAATATTTCAAAGATTTGGGATCCCATATTTTTGTGAAAATTTACACTTTTAGATCTAACAAAACTTTTTCTGTAAAAAACTAAATTAGATTTAGATATGTTTAATATAAAAACTATGAATTTTTCTCCCCCTCCATCACCCCACACCCCCCTGTTGTAGATCTGAACTTCTAAAGGGAATAAAGTGCTGTAGTCTAACAAGAAGGTACGGTATTTAAAGGGCGGGGAAGGCAGCTGCTTATTATAACATAAATTTGATCACATGTGCCCAGAGCTTGATTACTAAATACTTTAACACTACTTAAACGTGTACTGCTCTACAGGGATAACTAGATCACACCTTTAAAGAAACTTTTGACGTAAAAATCTTTACATGCCTGATTCACAACGGTACTCTTTAACCTAATGCACTGTACTGCACTGTATTGCACTGTTCTCCACTGAACTGCACCGCACTGTACTGTACTGCACTGCAACTGTACTGCACTGCTTTGTACTGCACTGCACTGCATTGCACGTCAATATACTGCACTGCAGTGTAATGCGTTGTAATTTTCTGCAATGTACTGCACTGCGCTCTATTTCACTGTACTGCACTGTACTGCAATGCACTGCACTGCACTGTACAACACTGCAATGTACAGCACTGAACTGCACTGTACTTTACTGCACTGTTCTGCACTGCACTGCACTGCACTTCACTGCACTGTACAACACTGCAATGTGCAGCACTGCAATGTACAGCACTGAACTGCACTACACTGTACTGTACTGCACTGTGCTGCACTGTAGTGTACATGTATCCGTTTGTACTGAAACTTTGTAGATATTTGATCAAGAATACAAATTGCTGACTTTACTAGAATAATAAAATTATGGCAGAATAAGCTCATATTTAACTTTAGACATATTCATGAAACTCTGTTTGCGATTGAGCTTGAGTAAAACTAAGAATGTACAGCGCTAGTGCATGGATTAAGCTTTAAACTGTTTAAACAAGCATTTTAGAATTGAAAAACGAGGTATTTCAAGAATTTTAGAATTGGATTTAGAAAGAAAGGGAAGAAAGGGGGAATTACGAGTTTTACTTTTATATTTAGTAAGGAAACAAGGAGGGAGAGGAAAATTGACAATATAAGGGGAAATCTAATAACGGAAGGGGGGGGGGGTCTTGCGTCATCAAAGTCCAACTCGAAAAGAAAAACGCATAATTCAGATGTAATATTTAAGTTCAGGAATGAGAGGAGAAATTGTTTCCAAAATAAACAGGAAAAACCTAAAACTTATGCCCACCATTGATCATACTTATGCTCCATTCTCAACTAAAAAATGATTCTCATAAAAAAAATGATAATTTTATGTTATCACGTATTCATAAAAAAATATCACATAGTTGAGTAAATAAGCTTAATTTTCATTTTATCTAATTCTGTCACTAAATTAATACCTTGTTCTCTGAAATGCTTTTTGATTGCATGCCTGTAAACCAGCTAGTCGGCCATTGTTCTGAGCAAACTGCCCCCAAAGCTACAATAAAAATTTAATGGACATCAGGGGGGCTTTGTAAAAAAAGCTTTTTGATATCCTTCAGTTCTCATTTTTTTTTATGTCTACATTTTGATTGTATAATATGTATTTATATCTTACCAAATTTTCCTGTTTTTTTTTCAGGAAAATACATGAATGATTTGATATGTCTTTTTAATAAAAATTTGGATGTTAATTTTTCTAGAATAAAAACATAGTGCTGTGTGATCAGGGGATTATCGGGTTTTCCACTTAATGGCGAAAAAGATAAGAAAAGGTTATAAATTATGGAAAACCTTGTCAAACAGAGCAGTGTCGGTTATCATCCATACAAGCTACACACCTTCTACAATATACAACTTTGGCGGAACTATGTCTGTAAAATTTGTTGTACTTCTTCTTCTTGGGCTGAGTTTGGTAGTTGCAAAAGAAGAATCATCATCATCATCAACATCATCAACATCATCAACATCATCAACATCAACAACAACAACAACAACAACAACAACAACAACAACAACAACAACAACAACAACAACCCCAACAACAACGACAACAACAACAACAACAACCCCAACAACCCCAACAACGACAACAACCGGAACATCAAGCTCAACTGTATCTTCAACAACCACTGGATCATCAACCACCACAGGGTCATCAACCACCACAGGATCATCAACTACCACAGGATCATCAACTACCACAGGATCATCAACTACAACTCGATCATCTTCTACAACTGGATCATCCACAACTAATGGATCATCAAACACCACAGGATCATCAAACACCACAGGATCATCAACTACAACTGGATCATCAACCACCACAGGACCAACAACTACAACAGCTGGAGCTGGAAGCATATTCTCTTCAATAACAATGATTATATCATCAATCATTATTGCTAAATATTAAACTTTATCTTTCAAACAATATCAATCATTGTAACACTAAAGAATTATTACAATTAATTCAATAAAAAAGTATTGATAAAAAATAGAAAATATATGAATAGTATATTAATCTGAAGGTTTGTCTGGAAAGTACTGTGTAAATATATGTTATCAGTATATAGCGTTACTTATATGTTAACTATTCAGTGCAAACAAATATGAAAATTTACCTAATCTTTTGACATGGTTAACACTGAAAAGCATTTTTTTAACCTTATTCATGCTGGGGGGGCGGGGTCAATTTGACCCCTCCTGTAGTTTTTTTTTTTTTTTTACAAAACTCAAAAGTTTAAGGCTGTTGAAATTTTCTGACTTTTCCTAAATACCCAAAGCCCTCCCTTTAGGCCTAAAACCGGGCTTTTATACCAACTGCCTGAGTCCTCAGGCATACTACCTAGATGACTGCTTTTTCCTGTTACAAACTAAATCTTTGTTTTGACCCACTTTCAGTTGTCAGATTTTGATAACGTTTAGCTTTTTGGAAAGCCTAAGACATAATGAAAAGGATTGCAACTAAATTATTGCAAATTGTTTGAAAACAAGCCGTCAAAAGAAATTTGCACATTTTTAGTTTTTCATAATTACACATCAGGTTATATAAAATTTTGCTAAACTTTTTGCATATTTGAAATGGCATGGTCAAGGGCTTTTTAAAAATGTATTATTTATTATTTTTTGGACAATATTTTTTCATAAAAAATGAGTAATCTTATTCAATTATTAGTTATTGTAGTGTCTCATAGTTCACAAACATTTTCTGTAGATTTTCTGGATTTTTTATTGAAAAGATGACATTTGAAGAGTTCGTAGAAATCTGCGAACAAATTCGAAAAGAATAAGAAATTCAATATAATGATGAAAAAAATAATTGATTCTAACACTGATTTATTGTTAAATTTCTATTGATAAATATGATCTTTAACATCTAATTAGTTTACTGTAGAAATTTTTTTTACATTTTTTGTCGTCATTTATTAATAATATCAAAAAAATTGATTCTCAAAATGTAACCACCAAACGGATGATTTTGAACGTCGACTTTGCACTCAATTATACATCATTAAAACGTTTTATATGTATCAAATGAATCCTAAAAAGTTCTTTACAATACTACGTTCTCAGTTCAACTACCATCCATTGCTGGTCACTCCCTTTAAATCTTAATTTTTAGTTTCTGCATTCGATCATTCAAGTATGTTAGTGGTTTACTAAATGATCAAGACATACACCAGTTTGACATAAGCCTGAATGCAAAAAACGGAGCAAACAAATTCTGTACAATTGTCTCTGAAATCTCAACCAGCCGTATTTTCTGCAACCTACACTCACTAAAAGGAAAGCATTGATTTAAATAATAGATTCAAAAAATATTTTGTTCGCATACTGTAGCAAATTTTTGAAAAAAGCCGTTCAAAAAAGCAAAATAGAGTTGTATTATTCTTGTTATGTCATTTTAAACGATTCTAAAGTTTGTGAAAAAAAACGTTGTCGGGTTTTAAATCCTGACTTAGGTTTATGATTAACTTTACCACGCTTTAAACCCTGATTCAGTTTTATTTCATCCATTATTATTTTCTATTTCACGCTCTTTAAATTTAAAGGTACTGCTAACCAAATTTAATAATTCTTTGTAATGCAAGATGTTTCATATTTTGAAAAATAACATTATAGACTTTCCAGGAGACCAGAAAATAAATTTTTTCATTCAGATTTTTTTAAAATCCGCATTAATCATATAAATCTGAATCTATAGACCTATAGACCTGTAGACCTAGACCTTAGAGTAAAGTTAACATTTTTCAAGGCCAGCTAATTGAAAAAAAAATCCGCTAAAATTACTTCTTAAAAATTTAAAATTTAGCATTAGAGTTATATAGACAACAAAGTAGAAGTAAGTTAGTGACATATGATAAAATATATCAAGGCATTGCGGTATTTCAAAGTCTACCCAGTTTTATAAATTAATGCAACTTTTTATAGCCATGTCTGGATGTATGTCAGATTACTCCTATGAATCGGACGTGCCCATCCTTGCATTAAGAGTTACTTTGAATTATGTCTGCAGCAGTCCCTTCAAGGGATCTAACCAAGGAGAAAGTTTAAAGGTAGTATTGGAGAGAAGAAGCTGCAGTCCAACCAAGGGATCTAAGCAAGGAGAAAGTTTAAAGGTAGTATTGGAGAGAAGAAGCAGCANTTTTCTTTCATCTTTTCTTTCATCTTTTCTTTCATCTTTTCTTTCATCTTTTCTTTCATCTTTTCTTTCATCTTTTCTTTCATCTTTTCTTTCATCTTTTCTTTCATCTTTTCTTTCATCTTTTCTTTCATCTTTTCTTTCATCTTTTCTTTCATCTTTTCTTTCATCTTTTCTTTCATCTTTTCTTTCATCTTTTCTTTCATCTTTTCTTTCATCTTTTCTTTCATCTTTTCTTTCATCTTTTCTTTCATCTTTTCTTTCATCTTTTCTTTCATCTTTTCTTTCATCTTTTCTTTCATCTTTTCTTTCATCTTTTCTTTCATCTTTTCTTTCATCTTTTCTTTCATCTTTTCTTTCATCTTTTCTTTCATCTTTTCTTTCATCTTTTCTTTCATCTTTTCTTTCATCTTTTCTTTCATCCTTTCTTTCATCCTTTATTACATCCTTTCTTTCATCTTTTCTTTCATCTTTTCTTTCATTCTTTCTTTCATTCTTTCTTTCATCCTTTCGTTCATCCTACCTTTCATCCTTTCTTTCATCCTTCCTTTAATCTTTTCTTTCATTTTGTCTTTCATCTTTTCTGTCATCTTTTCTTTCATTCTTTCTTTCATCATTTCTTTCATCCTACCTTTCATTCTTTCTTTCATCCTACCTTTCATTCTTTCTTTCATCCTTCCTTTCATCTTTTTTTTCATATTTTCTTTCATCCTATCTTTCATCTTTCCTTTCATTTTTTCTTTCATCCTACCTTTCTTACTTTCTTTCATCTTGCTTTCATTATTTCTTTCATCCTTTCTTTCATCTTTTCTTTCTTTCATTCATCCTTCCTTTCATCCTTTCTCATTTTTTCCTTTTTTATAAGTTCATGAATCTCCATGAGTGGAGAACTCTCCTATACCTATCTCCAGGTCAAAAATGTTAAAAGGCAGACAAGGTCATGGCAATTCTCACGTTTATTTCTTTCACCACTTTACACAACAACATCAGTTAGAGTGTTTATTTACCCCTCCCCCCTTACCTCTACCGTCCCTCTTTTTATTCCCCTTCCCTTCTTTTCTAAATTTATATTCTCAGGGACAAAACTTATCGGTTCTTTTATTCTTTTTCTTTTCTCCGTTTTCATCTCACTTTCTCCACTTTCACAAATATTGCCTTTTCTCTCACTTTTATTCCCTGCACTCTTTTTTTTTCTTTTCTCTCTCACTTTTATTTTCTTTACTTTTCAATTTTCTTTCCTATCCCACTTTTTTCCCCCTGCACTCTTTTATTTGCATTTATCTCCCACTCGAATTCTCCACTCTTCCATTTTTACTAGACTAGGCTTTAAGGCTAAATAATTTTAGCCTTTAACTGTTGCTCTGAAAGTCAGCCATTTTATATCAATTTCAAATTTTGGTGGATTTTTTTTTAATAGGCGCGCGCATTTTCAAAAAAAAAACTATATCCAAGAATTTCATTTTCCGATTTTGATGTTCCATAAACTTTCCCTGGAGTCATGTGAGGTCCCACACAAAATTTGGGTCCGATCGGTTCAGCCGTTTTGACGTTTTTTGGACACAAACGCACAAATCAAGTATATATGTCCCCTTCTTTTCTATTTTTCATTTTCACTCCTATTCCATCCTTCATTTATTTTCTTTCCTTTCCTCTCCTCTTCAATTATCTAATTCTTTAAGCTATCCATTCTTTATTTCCGGATTTTTATTTTCTTATTCTTTCCTTCCCTACCTTTCGTTTCTGTAACTTACTCTTTTTCCACTTTTTAAAATAGAATTTTTAAACGAATTTCTTTCTTTAAACGAAAAAAACAACAATTTGTTTACTTAAATGCTTTCGCATTGTTTTGTGTTAAACAATTAAACAATAAAAAGCGAATAACAAAGATGAAAGAAAGTTAGTTTGTGCATAATATTCAATTCAAAAGCCATAAATAAGTGTTAATCCAGTTTTAAAAGTAATGTTCAGAAAATGATTCATTTATTCGTATTTTATTCAATGTATGTCTTTAATACAATCTTTAAAAACCTCATTTATTGTTCTTCTTGAATGGATGATTTTGAAAATCGGTTTTATTATTCAATGACGACCCCGAAAAAAATAACAAAGAAGTATACAGTAAACTAATTAGTTGTTTGGGAACAGGTTGAGTAAATAAAAATTAACTCTTATCATCGAAAATAACTAATCTTGTTCAGTTATTGGTTTCTGTAATGTCTCAATTTTCAAAAACATTTTCTGCAGATTTCCTGGCATTTTTAATGAAAAAACGACATTTGAAGAATTTGAAGAAATCTGCAAACAAAGGAATTGAGTCTTTGTCACAAACTCGGATTTATTAATCCCTTTATCTTCACAACCCAGTGTCGTAGACCTTAGTTATTTCAAACCGTGAATTCTGATGGAATATCAAAGGTTTACATCATCTGGTTGTAGAGATATAGGTATTAGAAAGTTTGAGTTTGTGGCTAAGACTCAATTCCTTTATAAAGAATAAGAAAATTAATATAATGATGAAAAAGAAACAATTGATCCTAGAATTAATTTATTGACAAATTTCGAATCTTAAAGAACTAATTAGTTTACTGTAGAAATTTTGATACATTTTTCTTCGTCATTTTTGAATAATTTTTATAAATCCGGTTCTCAAAATCATCCCTCCAAATTAAACAATTAATGAGGATTTAATGCATAAATTTGCGCTCTGCTGACAAATATATGTACCGTACAAACGTGCCGGCTACTCCCTTAAACTCTGGCTAATCAAACAATCTAAATATCCAATTTGAACATTTCTAATTTACTGCTCTTTTTCTGTCTTTTTTATATACCAGATTCCGACCACTTAAATGGCGCTTAAAATTTCAAATTTTCATGGATTCTGATCAGCTGTTTCTGATTTTGCATACGCAACTCTGATGAACTCTAAACACTTTCCAGGATACAAACTAAAAATCAAATTAATCTTGAGATTAGATAAGAAGATCAAGCATTGACCACATTATTCACAATTCTAAAGTTTTCAGCTCCAGATTTTTAATCCGACCATAACATTCAGTTATGATAATAAACATGAATAACAATGTGGAGGATGAAAAGGTGGAAAATGTGTTCTCATAGTTACAAAGTAAATAAAGTGATTGAACGGTAAGCTGTAATAAATTCATATCAAGGATTTGGTTAACTCAATGTCAATAAAAAGATTAAGCTGTTAGCGGATATTTCTTGAGGTTCAAGAACTAAGAAGGTTTAGAAGATTTACTATATGTAGGCAAAATGAAATCATACTTTTAAAATAAATTGTAAATAATATTTAGAAAAGAGGATAAAGATCGTATTAAAGGGAGTGTTCGCGAAAAATGAAAGGGGGTAAAAACTTACTGGGAAAAATTATTGATGGTGATCACTACTAACCTTTCTTCTATCTGTTGCGTCTATAAGGAGAAGTTTGTTAAAACGACTCATACCAAAGAACGTATAGCGTCCATACAAATTGATAAAGTGGCAACATACGACTTGGATCGTAAAAAAATCTTTTTAATTCCAAACAAATCATTCAGATATTGCAACCAAAAATCATCGTTAATTTTTCGACGCATTTGTTTATTGTTTTTATTTCCACTCTATAAAAATTAGGTTTCACGGATTTTTTAACACATTAAATTTGTTATGCCTAAAATCCAAGCAAAACAAAAATTTCGAAAATGTTGTCCAAACATCGATAATTCTGTTTTTTTACTCACCCTAGTGTATATTTAAGAATTTGCAAAACAACTCGCAAATTTTCAGAATTACGAGTAATTTTTGCAAAATTCAGCCATGGAGTAATACAAAAGCTTGAAAAACATGTGCAGTAAATGTCCTCTCGAGTCATGTGAAATCTGCTTCTTTGTCATTTTAAGACAAAGACAATTTTTAATTTTACATAAAATAAATATGCTTGCAAGTTACAAATAAACTTTTTTTTACTAATTTAAATCACAAATTAGATAAAAATAAAGATTCGTCAAAGATATTCATGTAGATCAAGAAAATGAAAGGGAGTAAAGGCTTACCATCCCTTTACACAGCAAACTAGACAGAAGTAGACCATTAATTTTTCTAAATGTGAATTCTGTTAGCTCAAATAATCAAAGTTTTAAATATTAAAGCTTTGCACCATAAGGTTGCACAGATATCGGGATTAAATAATTGAATAATTCAAGAAGCTAAATGCGAGATGCATTGGTTAGTTCAGGGTATGAAAGTAAATCATCATCATTCCTGTTGAGAAGTTGTTTAAAAAAACCTCTGATGGGAGGTTGCGTGAATGTTAAATAGCAGTGTCCTGAGTTGTTTTAAAATATCCTCCAGTAGGAGGTTGCGTGGATATTTTTTACTCCGTTGTAAATCTAGGCGGCTCCGAGGGAGCACAGAAATATGCTGCTACTATCTTCCAGTATTCCTAATTAATGGCCCCTATGCCCCTGAAAATAATCAATAATATTTCTAAACCACTGACTACCCTAAAAGAGTGGGTAAAAACCGTGATAAATCTTGTAAACGTCACTTTTTCTCTTTTCTCTTGTCTTTACAAAAAATATGTTAATATAAGTAGTATTTATTTTTATACACTTTACAAACCTCAGATGTCAGGGGGGGTGGTTTAAAAGAAATTCGGGGATCTTTAAAATTTATATAATTTCAAATTTTTTGGCAGTAAACCATTCCTGGCGGTTTTATAACATAACGCTTCTTTATAGTGCTGTACATAGTTAGTATATATTTATGTATATATAAAGACATTCATGTACATGCTTATATGCATTATTCATGTACATATACTGTACAAGGATATATGAAATATCAATTGACAGAAAATTGTGTCTATTTATTTTAGATCATTCAACCCTGTACAGCTAACAATATTTATGTACACTGTACAGCACTAAACAATAAACAGTACATTACAATTTAAAATTTTAACGGAAATCATTTCACTAGCGGCATGCATAAGGCAACCAGTGTAAAAAGAATAGTTACTACGTAACTAAACACAAACAGACAATAACTTAGGTAGAAATATCATTGCTTTCAATTCTAGGTGTGAAAGTAAACATATGTATACATAGTGCAGAAACTTTTACAGTGTACACTAAATAATTCTCATCCTAAAATTGCTCAAAAACGATATTCATGATTAACAAGTCTGTGAAAATTCCTAGTTACCTTACGTGGTAATTTAAAAAGTGAAAATATTTACTTTTTATAAATAACAAGAAACAGTTCAGAACTTCAGGTACAGCTGTAAAAACAGTTAAATCATTTTGGTTTCAGTTTTTTTAAATATAAAATTTTAAATTTTCTACTTGAGTTATAAATAAAAATGTTGAAGACTATTCTTATAATATTCATAATTTACTAAATTTTAACTTTTAGCACTGGGGTTAGATTTAAAATATACAGAACATTTGACAATAATATTAACATGTTCGAAATTTCCTTCGCTCGATAAATTAGTTTATTTTTTTGGACATTGAAACACTTTTAGACTTTTGAGCTTAAATAGAAATAAATTGCATTTCAAATGACTTTTGTTTTAATCCTTTGAGGTTTAATCACCCCTGAAATACTTTCACAAGGCAGTTTATTTTTTCATTTTTTAAATCAAAAAGTTAGATTATACTTTATAAATAATGTTTTTCTTTGTTGATATGAAGAGATACACATGTTTTAGATTTGCAAATTTTAGTGGGAATATTTACAGTGGGATGAAATTTAGGCTTCTTTGGGGATAAATTTTGTAGAAATAATCATAATCTTTAATGATGCTTTTTTAATGGACCATACATATGTGTTCTGAATCTTATTGGAGGTGGACCATTGACATATCTGAGGACGTGTGGACCAATATTGGAGGTGGACCATTGATATATCTACTGACGTGTGGACCAATATTGGAGGTGGACCATTGATATATCTGAGGTGTGGACCAATATTGGAGGTGGATCATTGATATATCTTAGGTGTGGACCAATATTATATTGGAGGAGGACCATTGATATATCTAAGGTGTGGACCAATATTATATTGGAGGTGGACCATTGATATATCTAAGGTGTGGACCAAATGAAAGATTTGAGTAGGTATCGCAACACCTAGGTTCCATAACCCAGGCTATAAGTAGGACTAGGAGAAGAAGTAGGTTTATTATTACAGCAAACCTTCCAACCCTTCTCATCCGTGACGCATCAACCTTTGGACTTTTCTTTATTCTGCCATCTTCGATACAAACCTCCATCTTCTCCTTCCCAGCCTCTTTTCGTTCGTTTACCCCCTCCAGCCTTCCTACCCGGCCCTTCTTTATCCTGAGTGTTCTATACACCCTCTTGAGCTGGTTTAGCTCCACCTGGGTTGAATGTAGTGTTGATGTTATGAGCTGAAGAGCTTCACAATCTGGAGGTAAAGTTTCCTCGAGGCTAACGGCAAGCAACCGTAATCTGCAATTAAGATTGTTTTTATCTTGAATAAAAAAATATCAATATTAGTATTGCAAAGTAAGTTAGTAACGGTTAACGAATTGTAAGCGTAATTTCAAGTGAACCTCCATGCAAAGATGACAACAACAGTTAAGTCAAATTCATTTCAAGAACCGTCAAGAGCCTACATGTAACCAACCAGAGCTGTACAGTACACATATAGATTATACCATGCAAAACGGGACTGTACACCAAATGAACCAGCTTATACTATGTAAAACGAGACTGTACACCAAATGAACCAGCTTATACTATGTAAAACGAGACTGTACACCAAATGAACCAGCGCCCTCTAGGTAAATTCTAGTGTGTAACGCTATGTCTGATCAAGCATGAATTAATTAAACATCGATGTTTTGTTTATTCTAACCGTTCATTCTCATTTGTGGTTTCCCTGAAAAGATGACTTACGCATTTCTTGCTTTGAGAAACAATTAAAATGATATAAGAATTAATACTTTTCGAGTCAAACAAATGACAGTATCTTCCGCATTATTAATCAATTTATAGTTTCAAGGGTATGGTTGTGAACCCTTGCAAACTTTGCATGGAAGGTCCTTGGACATATACGCTTACAATTATACAATCCCTTAATGTAACACATAAATACACAAATAAATGAATCAATGAATGATTAATAACCTGTTAAATTTCTCTTCTCTGGCCGGTATATCCTGCTCTGAAACCTCATAGCTATCACTGATCCCAGAATCTCCTGTAATAAAAAATATAATTTTAAATCTGAACATTCAATGCAAAACGTCACTTTTACATGTTAACATATTCTCAATATGGAAGATTATTTTCTACGCATGACAAAACTTTTTCTTCTTCATAATTACGTTGATTACGTCCTGAAAAACCCCTTTTGGTTCTTTTCTAAAAGTATTATTTGACCAAAGCTGTTAGCCAAGACTTGTGCTCTCCTGCGAACAGGAATACTAACTGAGCCTTGCAAATGACCGATATGTTTAGATAACCCTGCGAATACGAATGCTAAGTGAGTCCAAGCAAATGACAATTGACAGGTAGCTTTGAAATGACAATTGACAATGACAATGTTTGAAAGATATTTTAGATAAAATTACCACAAAGTTTTTTTTCTAAAAGTGTTGGTAACTTTTACCAGACATGAATCATATTGGAAATAAAGGGTTACCTGAGGAAGAATGTTTACTTCGTCGTCGTCTGCTCTTCTTGAGGTTTGCTACGTCTTTGCTGAGTGATGCTCTAAGCTCCAGGAGTTCAGTTTCAAAACTACTCAATCTTCTTAGGGAGTCCTGCACAATAGGGTATTTTTTATATAAATATTACTAACTATATTACTTTCTTGACCGTTCTTTTTTGATAATCATTGATGATGCTCTTTTGATCACACTTATCAAGGACGCTCTATTGAGGACACACATTGAGAAAACGCTATTGAGAACACACATCAAGGGCACCCTTAATCTATTGAGGACAATCTATTGATAAAACACATTGAGGACACTCTTTTGATGACGCTCTATTGGTGAGGAAACACATTAAGGACACCCCATTGAAAACACACATTGAGGACACCCTCTATTGAGGATGCTCTATTGTGGACGATCTATTCAGAACGATCTATTGAGGACGATCTGTTGAAGACGATCTGTTGAAGACGATCTATTGAGGACGATCTATTGAGGACGATCTATTGAGGACGATCTATTGAGGACATTCTTTTGATGAAACACATTGACGATACTCTTTTGATGACGCTCTATTGAGGACACACATTGAGGACACTCTTTTGAGAACACACATTAAGGACACCCTATTGAGAACACACATTGAGGACACACTCTGTAGAGGACACTCTATAGAGGACGCATAATAGTGATATATTTAAACCTACTTGTGTTCTGGAGAGCCCCCCAGCAATCTTATGATGTGCATTATCCCACAGAGTATAGAGATGAACAACTTGTCCCTGAAGTTCTTTAGCCTGCAGCAGTCCTCCCTACCAATAGAAAATATACATTGCACATTTTTTAGGATTTTACACCCCCGCTCTTTTTTAAACAAAGTCGATTTGTCTTTCTTGCTCAAAAGATCGCAGAAAAATTCAACTTTCTGTCAATTTTGGCAAAAAAACATTTGCTAATTTATAAACCGTTTATAAAAAGGGTACAGTACTGCAGTTTCTGGGAGAAATGTAAACAAACGCAGTATTGTTCAGTAGTTTGTTAGCGTTGTCTATTTTCTTCCGGACACTGCAGTACATTTGTTGAGAAAGTGAATTTACCTGAGGTAGATCTGGTTGGTTGAGCCGGGAGGAGGTTGTAGCTGGGCCGGGAAACCTAGGGGACCTCGTTGATATCTCCGCCAGTAGGTTGTGAACTGACAAGTTTAACTGGAACAACGTTGTTTTGAAGGTGGACAACTCAGACATACCCTCCTTGAACATAACACGATTAAGACAAGAAAATTTAATATTTTTCTCAAGAAAGAATAATTTTTACAATAAAGTCCAATTTTTATATTAAACATTGTTTATATTTGAGATTTGATGATTTTGCAAGCTTGATATAAAAAAACCAAAAATCTACGAACAATCATTTTTTTAAGAAAAATAAATACAACACATGCAAAATATTGAGATGTCAGCAATTTGTATCAATGCACATGTGCTGACCTAATAATATTTTTACACACATCTTGAATTCTAAAGTATGTAGAAGAACTCTTGATTATTTGTATGATAATGAAGTATTTATGAATTGGTTTTCTATTTGAACGTATATATGATAATCTAAAGTTCTCCGATCATTGATTGTTTTTAAATTAATCTTGATTGAATTTTACCGACTATGCTTAAAAGTTCAAAGCTCAGGGAGGAGAAAGGGGGAGGGGCGTCCTATATCTAACCCCTGTCAATGGTTTTGTAGGATTTGAACCCCTGACCCCAAGAAGTAGGCTTGGTTGCAACTGCTGAGCTAATGGTTCCCTTGAATAGAGGCAAGGTTCAATAAGTAATGATGAAAAATGTCTTTATTTAAATATTCAAACATCCATGCATAACTTTAGGTTCTACGTTCAATAAAAATTATTCTGGTCAGACTAAACGCCAATAAATAATGTTTTCAACGATTTTGATTATTTATGCTTGTGTTCGTACTCATACAACTTTTGTGTTCATTGAGTACTTGTTAATTTAATATACAGACAGTACTGGCAAGTTACTGTTCGTTTTTGTCTGATATCTGAATATTCAGTTTAATAAACAACCATAACAACTTACAAAGATTATTCCATTTGGTTGATGCATCTAATTCACGAATTTGTCCGTTTTTCTTTTTTGTTTGTTTTAATTGGTGTTTTATTTTTCGTTTAGATATTTTTTTTTTTGTTGTATTTAGATATAATAGAACATGGGTACTGCATGACAGATAGCCAGAAATTACTACTTTTTGTATGTTTATGTACCTTGAGTGTTTGAATCCTGTTTTCTAGTGTACTCTGAGAACCAGGTTCAAGATTTACAACCTCATCCCGATCATACACAGGATCCTCTACACGCTCCAGTAGCATACTCAGGTCCATCCTAGGAATTAATTCTTCCTTTCACTCTTCCCTTTATCCTTCCTTTCATTCATCTTTTCATCCTTCCTTTCGTCCTTCCTTCCTTTCATTCATCTATACTTTCTCTGAGATTTTTATTTATCTAAATACCTGAACTGATCTATATCTACTCTGAGATTATTATATATCTTTATACCTGAACTGATCTATATCTACTCTGAGATTATTATATATCTTTATACCTGAACTGATCTATATCTACTCTGAGATTATTATATATCTTTATACCTGAACTGATCTATATCTACTCTGAGATTACTATATATCTCTATACCTGAACTGAACTATATCTAATCTGAGATTATTATATATCTCTATACCTGAACTGATCTATATCTACTCTTAGATTATTATATATCTCTGTACCTGAACTGATTTATATCTACTCTGAGATTATTATATATCTCTATACCTGAACTGATCTATATCTACTCTGAGATTACTATATATCTCTATACCTGAACTGATCTATATCTACTCTGAGATTATTATATATCTGTGCTTGATGAACATTGTCTTCAATCCTTTCTCTCATACGGTTCCATCGGTTCAGCAGTACTACAAATAAATATATTTATAAAAAGGATTGTTTTACAAATAACTAATTGGTCGGTCTTTTAAAAGTTTCATTAAACTAATAAAATAGAAAATCGACCATAGCTATCTTGAAAGTGATCAATCTTTTTTATTTTCTTGATCCCATTTTTTTTTGCAGAAATCCACGGGACACTTTCCGGGAAAGTTTTTAAAAAGTTATAGCTTTTCGTCAATACCTTTATCAAGGTTTAATAAGCATCGTTTGCAATGTTTGAATAACAAGACAATACAAATTAAGTTGACTGTTCCTTTAAAACTTTGTTGTGAAAAGTTTATTTATAAACTTTAAATATTTACACGATCAATGAGATAGATGATATGATAATAATCCAAATAAAATCATAAATAAATAAAATATGTTTATAATTCATTAAAGACAGAAATTGACAGATTTACGACCAATAAAATCTACTGGCTGAAACTAAATATAAACAAATTCCAATAAAGCATTTAGTTGGTTTCTTTAAATCGGCTGGGTTACATAGAATCAATATTGATATTATTCTTTCTGTTTTGTTACAAAACACGATACAACATATAACAAGGGTGTAGTCGATGAAATATTTTTTTTTTCTAAAATACCGCTTTAACCTTCAAACGCGGCACTAATAATTAAATTCGAAAATGTGCTCGGTCTCCTTTTCAAAGATTTTTAAAGGATATTCAAATTATAATTTTATGTTTACGCTTTATACGGTAGAATAGAAAAAATTTCACATTTTCAATGATAGAATTGAGCATTTTTAAAATCAAAAGACGAAAAAAGATTTAAAATGTTTTTGAAAATCTTTTGAAAAGGGACAGACTACATTTTGAGTACATTTTGAAGGCAAAAACGATATATTAGAATAAAATGTTTCAACGACGACCCCCCAATTTATGGACATTTTACCTACTAGGCTCATATTGTAGTAGAATAAAACGACGTCAAGTGGGTGAAAACGCAATTAATATCTTAGGAAATGGGACCGAGCACATTTTCGAATATTATACCTAATTTTGGAGGTTAAACGGCACTTTAGAGAAAAAAATGTCATGCAATTATACCTCCAAGAAGCCCTTTTTAACACAAAACAATGTTGTTTACTAGGCTAAAAAGCCTAAACACACTTTTTTCAGAGACACCCTGTAGATCACAAAAATTCAGACTTCTGTGATAATTTGCAAGGAGAATTGAATAGAAGGAGGGGGCGATAGGGTTTCCGTACACTTTGCTGTGACGTTTTTGGACTGCTGAAGAACTAGTTTTTGCTTAACAACAATAATAAAGATTGTAAACAATAACACAAATGATAAACAGACATCTGGCATCTCTGCCGTGTTAGATGAACATTCACCGTATACTAACTTACATATAGATACTAGTTCAGCCTATAATAATAGATTGGATGAGTTCTACCAGCATATTAATATTCTCTCCACATATAGATACTAGTTCAGCCTACAATAATAGATTGGATGTTATTGGATATTATTTTAATTTATTATTATATTAAAAATTTGAAACCCTGGGCAAATTTTAAAGTATCTTTGTCAATTTAAAAAAAATAGCAGACCACATTTAGAAAATCTTAGAACTAATAATAGGTTTTGCAGTGTATTGTTTTAAATGGAAGGTTGCGTTCAGATGTAGTTTAGTTTATAGCATTGCAATTGTTTAATATATGTTCAGAAGGTAATTAAACTGAATGAAGCAGGAAGAGAGAAAACGATTAACTCTTTACATTCTAATTTCCTTTAAACTTGAAAAAGTAATGAGCAACCTTGTATTTCAACTAAGGAAGAAATAAAACTGATTTTTACGTAAAAGAAGCGTTTTTTGATTATCTCGAATTCCCACAATTTATATGCTTTTCAAAGAATCTATTTTGTTGTACTTTTAAGTCTTACATATTGTATGTACTGTGTTTGATGAAGGTATCCAGTACAATGTAGTTCACATGTTCTACTCTCTACTGTACTGTACTCTCTCCCACTCTCGTTCAGTACACTGTACACCTCGCTGTACTCTGTATCAGACCCAGATCCTGTACCGCGTACTGCTCCCTGAAATAAATTAGTTGTTGCAGTATAGTTGCAATTCCAGTACATACAGGGTGCCCCACTAATTATGACAGTCACGAAAAGATCGTCTTTAATATTGGAAAGTGTTTGCGGCATTGATTTTTCAACCTAATGTAACCCCAATATAATTCTTGAAACAAAAATCATGAAATAATCCCAGTCTTTCGTGCTTTTAAAAATAGCCTTATAACCAAATAGTCTTAACATTGGACTTCGTCTTTAACATTTCTAAAGTCGTTCTAAAGTCGTTCTAAAGTCGTTTCTTAATTGATTGTCATTTTTACTAGAATACCAGAGCAAAATTCATTTTCAGACAATAATTTACAGGCACAATTTCTGAAATGTTTCACTGTGATGAAAGCTGAATGCGTAAATGATTGATTGAATAAAAACAATTGCATTAGATTAGAATTTGCAAAATATTGCACAATCTTCGACAATATTTGCATATAATCAATCATATTGTCTGATATTCAATTCTAGACAGCTGAAACTATTGCAAAAATAGTGAACAATATTAACTAAAAAAAGCAGTACGGACTTCGAGTTAAATTCGATTTTAGTCTTATTATGTATCATAATTCAGTAACTTTTTTTCAATTGAAAAAGCACAGTTTAAATGTAAAGAAACATATATAAACGGATATAGTTATAGACATGAGTCCTATTGATAAAGTTCCATGTACGTCTATAAACAATGTTTTTACACAAAATATAAATGCAATGATGCGTAGAAAAGATAATGGAAGAAATTATGATAATATATTAAAGAATCCTTTATATATTCATGTTCATGACAAATATACCAAGAAGAGAAGATAAATGAATAAATATATTCACAGATAAAGTATTTATGTATATATAAATTGATATATATAGATATATATACATAGAAGTATGCTGTAAAGTAAACTGTAAAGTGAACTGTAAGTGTACTGTAAAGTGTACTGTAAAGTGTACTGTAAAGTGTACTGTAAAGTTTACTGTAAAGTGTACTGTAAAGTGCACTGTAAAGTGTACTGTAAAGTGTAATGTAAAGTGTGCTGTAAAGTGTACTGTAAAGTTTACTGTAAAGTGTACTGTAAAGTGTACTGTAAAGTGTACTGTAAAGTGTACTGTAAAGTTTACTGTAAAGTGTACTGTAAAATGTAATGTAAGTTGTACTGTAAAGTGTACTGTAAAGTGTACTGTAAAGTGTACTGTAAAGTGTACTGTAAAGTGTACTTTAAAGTGAACTGTAAAGTGTACTGTAATGTGTACTGTAAAGTGTACTGTAAAGTGTAATGTAAAGTGTACTGTAAAGTGTACTGTAAAGTGTACTGTAAAGTGTACTGTAAAGTGTACTTTAAAGTGTACTGTAAAGTGTACTGTAAAATGTACTTTAAAATGTACTGTAAAGTGTACTGTAAAATATACTGTAAAGAGTACCGTAAAGTGTACTGAAAAATGTACTGTAAGTTGTACTGTAAACTGACCTTTAAAGTGTTTTGTAAAAAATACTGCAAAATATACTGTAAAATATACTGCTAACTGTACTGTAAATCCTACTGTTAAAAGTTAGTAAAAAATTTATTTAAAGTGTATTAAAAAGGTGTACTGTTAAGTATACTGTGAAATGTACTGTGAAATAATACCCTTTGTTTTTTTCTTCTTCTTCTCTGAGTTCTGCTTGAAATACTGCTCTGGCTGCTGGACAAGCTGGAGATGTAATTCCTTAATATTAATATGAACAGCTTTTCATTTGAGATTTTAATTTGTACATGTATAACATTAGTGAGGTAGGTAAGTAAGTAGGTAGGCAGTTACGTCTGATAGAAAGGTAGGTATGTAGCTAGGTAGCTAGTTAAGTAAGAGGTAAGTAGATTGGTGGAAAGGCACGTAGGTCGATAGGTTCGTAGGTAGGATAAAAAACTCCTGGCTAAAAAGACAGATACGATAGATTTACGATAGATATGATACGTAGATAGTTGTTAGATAGATAGATAGAAATATTGATAGTTATATAGAAAAATATATAGATATATAAATAGCAAGATAGATGGATAGATAGATAAATATAAAGTTTGATAGATAGATATAAAGGTTGATAGATAGATAGATATTTACCTGTAATCGTCTCCAAAAGAAAGAAGATTTCTTGCTCGTTCCTCATCTAGGCTCTCCTCATAGTGGTACTCAGAAACCAGAGACTCCTGGACAGTGTACAGTTTATTTTATGTCCAGTGTACATGTACAGTTCATTATATGTACAGTGTACATACACAGCTAGTTTACTATTGATATTTATGATGTCCGTTCATTGAAGTAAGTTTACAGTGTATAAATACAGTTTATTGTATACGAACAGTATATGTGCAATTTACTAAATGTAAAGTGTACAGTTAATATTATGTACAGTGTACATGTAAATTTTATTGGAAGTGCAGTGAACCAGTAAAATTCATTGTATGTACAGTGCAAAGTGCATAAAGTGAACTGTATGTACAAAATCTACAGTAATATTTGTAACTTGTATATCTCCCTCCCTTCAACTGTATCATAACAAACTGTACAGTGTACAGAAATATGAAAATATTTGTCCAACCTTATCCCCCTTTCTTGTATAGCCTGTCAAGTTCAGAAGGCCCCTTACCCCCCCCCCCTTAAATATCCCCTTAGACCTGTTATAATATAAACAGATATATGATATTTTAACACCTTAACAACCCTGAATGACACTAATACATTGGATTCCCTTCATCCTCCAATCTTCAGAATGTCCTTCACCCAGTTTGTGGGAATTTTTTTTCGATACAATTTTTTAGGTTTGCATTGTAACATACAGGGTTACCCATTCAGGAGGAGACTTATATAATGACGACCTGAAACTGTTTGAATAAAAAGGTCTGAAGGTTTAATTTGGACCATGATATTTGATGATCTGGCAAAGATTAATACAGGTTAACAGCTAGAGTGTACCAGGAATTTAAGAAGCAAATAAATACTAGATAAATTCCGTACAGTCGTCACTGAAGTCTTAACTTATAAAGGTAGCCATTTAAGTAACAAACTAAAATTATAAACATTACATCTGATCTAACAAAGTTTTCCACTGACTGGATCTCATGAACAGAAGTAGTTAATGTGAAAAGAGCCAACTATTGAACATACAAATTGTTTGAAACTTTAAGAAACAAACATTTTTTACCAAAAGTTACGTGCACATAATATGTATACTAAAGTGTGTATACATATATATAACAATAATGATGTGAACTGACAAGTTGTCAACTAATCAGCATTCCTAAAGAAATAAAGATTTCGCGGGAAAAGTAATAATGCTTCAGAGCATATGTGTCAATCAATGTTTCGGAGTTCTGCCAGTATCTCTACACGTGAAAATATTAAATCTTTTCCAGGATTTTCCACTCAAAACTTTCCGCCATTTTTTACCGCGGCCCAATTAGTTGGCGAATATTCGAGAATGATGTTTTTGTCGAGCAGCAAAAATCAAATATGATTTTCATAATTTTGGAATGAGTTCAAATAAATAAAATACTAAAATATTTTAATATTAACCTTTGCAAGCATTTTCTTTTTGAGAAATTTAGGATACATGGCGAAATATCATNTTTATTTATTTTTCCCTTAAAAATTATTTATCTATACAACTCGGAAAATACATACATAACATCTGGGGGAAAATAATGATTAAAAATTTGAAAAAAAACATAGTAGTAGGATTTTAGATTTTTTATTTTTGTATTAAATTAATCGATTTGTGGGTTATTAATAAAACAGAATTGAAAAGTTAGGATTATATCATGACTTAAATATTTGATATCATTTACTTTAAAATTGATTATTTTTAAAACATCTTAAAATCTATCTGAATAGACAGATGATGACCCGAAACCCAAATTGCTTTCAGCTTAGATCTGAAACGAAATATTAGGATTGATATATTTTTTTAATCTGAAGAATGTTTTCTTTAATCTTACGTTTTATGCGTGGTTGTCGAATATGATATTTTTTAATTTAAACGTTCGGCAATAATTTATGAACAGCACAGTTTTACTCAATTTTACTTTTGATGATAGCCAAGACTAATATATTGATTTATATATTTCTATGTCGTATCTATTTGATATAAAATATTAATAACACTCGTAATAATATTAAATAATAGAGGTGTTATTGCATGTATCATATTAATATATTGAAGAGAAATAACACTAACATAATGTTATAATGAAGGAAGTAAAAGCTGAGTGGAAAAAAGAGAAAGTGCACATAGGGAAGCGGTAGGGAGGAAAATACAAATGAAGTGGAAGGAAAGTGTAGGGGGGAGTATACAGTAGGTGGAGGGGAAGTTTACTGGAAGTGGAGGGGAATTGTAAGAGCAAATAAAGAGACGTGCAAGGGAAGTGGGAGCTAATACAGAGGAAGTGTAGGGGGGATAACGAGGAAGTGTAGGGGAAAAGAAATATACAGGAAGTGGAAGGGAAATGAATGATATGTTATTAAATATTTTAGTTTTTACCCTACAATTTCATTATTCTGCATTTATTTAAACACTTGTCTTTAACTAAGGCATTTGAATGGATTTTATGCAATAAAATTACCAAAACTAAATTCTAATGAAATTATTTAAGTTTGAATTAAAAACCTTTGCCAAACACGTGACACGACCACACGCTGCTCAGTTTCCAAAACTTTATTTTTATTTTTATCACTGATTCTATTGTACTCCTCTCCAGAAGAAACTTCATCCAGAGAGTTTAATCCCCCTACAGCAGGGTTCAGTGGATTCAATCCTCTTCCTGTGTAAATGGGTTTTATGCCTTCTTTCGGATTAAATCCAGTTTCATAACTGAAGGCAAGGGAGTTTAATCCTCCTGTTGTTTTCATATCAGGGTTAAAAATGGAGTTTGTTTCTCCTTCATCTTTACTCCCTGTAAACTCCATGTACTCTCCAATATCTCTAATATTGTCGAGTGAGTCAGCTGACTGTATACCGGGCTGGTACATGCGATCAGCTGACTGTACTTCATGTTGGTACAACGCGTCAGCTGACTGTACACCGGGTTGGCGGATTACAGAATCAACTGTTTCCAAGGTTAGGGTGTGTGAGTCTAGAAAATAACATTATCTTTATCAAATATACTCTTTTGGAAAAGTCAGAAATAATCTGACAAATGTTATCTTGAAATTGTATTGGAGTGTTGAAAATTGTGTTTGAAAGTTTCCTTATGTACAATATCATTAAGTTGTTCTGCGTGTTAATCTTCAGCTATTATATCTAGTGTCCCGTGTATATAAGTACATAATTCATCATAAAGCCGAGAATGTAAATTTAGATAATTTTGAATAATTATAGAACAATAAATTTTAAATCTTGACACCTGACTGGAGTTGTATTCCAGGGCCTCACCCATATACTGGGATCACCATATGTAGGGGAAAAATCAGAAAAAATTCCCAAATTTTTTCAAATCTTTCCAGTTTTAAGATACATAATCTAATTCTATATATTCATATAGATATAAATAATTTGATTTCTCCTTACCAAGTTTAAAAATATATTCTTTGTCTGTCTCCTTTGGTGATTTAAAAAAAAAGTAAATTGAAAAAAAAACTTTTTTCATGTGCTGAACAATGCTTAACACCTATCATCAAAAAAGTAATAAAATTAAATTTTTTATTTTTATATCTTCCCAGATCCCTTCCCCCTTCCTTCACCTCCACTTCTATAAATGAACATACAATGCAAGGAACTAATCCTTCATAAATCATGGATTTTATTTCAAAAATGACAGATTTATTCAATGTTGGTAAAATCTCTAATCTGTCTGTATAGATCACAGGGTGGAAATTTTAATAAAACTGATTTCCCACTGTTTTAAAATTAAGTTTATTCGATAGTTGAAATTATTTAAATTTAATTATTATTACTATTATATATCTAGTTTATTATAATATTGGAACTTATCTCTGTAAACATTAAAAGGACTTTAAGCTTTACAGATTTGCATCGTTTTCTTTCCATCACCCTTTTCTTTGCATCACCCTGTTCTTTGCATCACCCTGTTCTTTGCATCAACCTGTTTTTTACATCACCCTGTTCTTTGCATCACCCTGTTCTTTGCATCACCCTGTTCTTTGCGTCACTCTGTTTTTTTTTAATTTCAGGATTTAAGCACAACCTTGGCGTTGATCCCAGGACTACTAAATGAGTCTCATGTTTGTTTTGTTTTGGTTTCTCGTGTTTTTGTTTATGTTCTCATCCTGACATTCAAATGACAGTTGTATCCTGGGGCTTAGTTTAATATTATGCATATACCCAGAGGCAGAGAGAGAGAGAGCTATAAGGTAAGGTATGGCAGAGGTGCAGGGACGCCATAAGCACCGCAAAATGGTCTCCAAGCCTCTGGATTCGCAGATAAGTACTTAAAATGACCTGGCGCTACCCCTACCCTTTAGAATTTACATTATAAATACACATTTTTAGAATAGATTTTTAACATTTTAATAGTTATGCAATGTTTTTTGAATATTCAAGAAAACATTGCGTCCATTTAAAGATTAAATATTTTCTTTTAAACATGTTATTTATTGCTTCTATAATATCAATTTAAACGTTTAGTGATAGCGCCAGGTCATTTTAATTACTCATCTGCGAACGAGGAGGCTTGGAGACCGTTTTACGGGGCTCATGGCGGCCATGCACTCCCTACCTCGATGAGACTGGTGAGTAGAATAAATGTTCATGAATGGAAACGGATTATAATTACAATAAAATAAGTCCAAATTCTGTTTTACTTTTTAAGATTTAAAATTGAGAATGTTTATTTAAATCGTTTAAAATAAAGTTTTTTTAAAGAAAGATATTTCAAACGTAGACAATTTGATTTAAGAAAAGTCATAATTAGAAATATGAGTATCAATGTCAGTTTACAAATATAAGAAAATAGAAAATGACGGGAGTAATCAGTTCTTTTCAAAATCAAAAGCAAAAAAGTTGTAATATTTAAGAAAAATATATTTTAGAGAACGCTTATCAGAAATTGTTTTTTCTTCTTTTTATTTGTCCGCATTGGCAGAAAGTATGAAATACGGCAACTTTAAGAATATGTTTAGGTGAACCGGTCGAATTTTTTTATATAATATTTTTATTATTCAATAATATTTCCATATCCTACCTAAAAACCTAATAAGAAAGGATACATGAATACGAAAATATTTGTAAATTGGTTCAAACTTGGTCAGTTGACAACATACCCAGAAGGGAAAAGATCTATTATTATCAATGATTATAAGAATTCATCTATAAATGTATTTTATTACCTAGATTAAAAATCTCCTGGTTTGTATACGTAAACTTAAAATATTGAGAGTTTGGGGAAAGAATAGTTTTGTTCTGGTTTAGAAGATCGCAATCACTATTCTGATTCTCATCAAAATTCACATTTTCCACGATGTTCTCCTCGTCATAGATGAGTGTATTGTCTGCCTGCTCCTCGTCGGAATTACGCTCGAAGCAGTAAGATACGCAATTTGTCGAGTTTTCCTTTTCTGGCGCATTTTTCACAATATCCTGGAGGGATCTGGAGAACGAGCTGATACTCTGTTCACTCTCAGAGGTTGCCATAGAGAAGGATTCAACAGGATGAGAAGACATGACGGAAACTTGGAAAATAATATTTGTATGACAAACTTCTCGTAACAAGGCAAACTTTTAAATTATAATGATCGGATATGTTTAAACAAAGAAAATTTCGCTCCCCGCACTTCCTTGGTGTCAGGTTGAGTTAGGGACGGGGTAGGGAAGGTTGGGGTGAAAGGGGGGGGGG